ATCTTGCGTTGCTGGTGACATATTAGCCTGTCCTTTCTAGATGGGACATGTAAACATGGAGGATACACCTAAACCTTGACGGGCTTTGAGGAGTTTTGAGGTCACTACGTAGCAGACGGTGCAAAACAAACTGGACCGGACCTGGAGAACCTGCAGCTGTGGCTCGATTTCAAGAAAGAACCAAGGCGGCCACTCTGCCGTCCCGCTCCTGTGTGAGTGTCCCGGGAACGGGTCGACTGCAGAGACGGATGGCTTTGTGCATGGAGGACTGCACCTTTGACAGTATTGAGCTGCTTTACAGTGGAGCTGTCGATAAGATTAAAAGCCATAAAAGTAACCTCAACCTCAGTAAGTTTCATCAGCTTCACCATCAGGAATTTATTGTAAATTTGTCAACTTGAATAATTAACCAGCCTTTGTTTGGAAACCACACTGAACTGTTTAAAACTCTTATCATCAGGATTTAATCAGTCAAACAAGCCTCTGTTAGGTACTGAGAACAACCCCAGCCTCTTTTTCATTGGAAAATCAGTCAACATAAAACAACCTCAGGATGTCCATTTCAGTCTCTGTTCACTAGATAATCTCTGTCCCACTCATATAAATCTTTGTCATCACAAATATCATCAACCTCAGCAAGTTGTTAACCCGTACTAATTGCTGTCCAACTAAAAATAGAAACACTCAAGTTAGTAAGTCTTAGTTTTACTGCTTTATTGCTATTCAGTGTAATGGTGTTGATTTTGAAAATGATTGTGCCATGTAAGAGATATAGTACTAGTAATAATACAACAAAACTGATTTCCCCCTTGGTCAATATCACAACAAAACTGAGTGTACCTTTGTTGCATTGTATACTCTGTGCAGCTGTTGACCACTGCACCAACTGGTTACATATTGTGATTTCCACTCAAGGCTAACTGCATGAACAAGGTTATAAAAGAACCTGTGAACATCACAGCTTTCTCAGTTTTGGCCTGGGTTGTGTCTAATGCAACATGACGCCACATAGTACATAAGATGATGATAAAAATGAAAGAGGATACAAGAGCATCTGAGGCTACTGATGGATAGGAAGAGCCTTGCTACCAATAACAGAAGCTACAGTGGTTGTCCTTTGTCCTTCTTTCTGCCATGTACAATTTGCTATTTACACAACCTTGCATTGAAAATCAGATGGGTAAGTTCCTCTTACATGGCACAAGGATTATCTGTGGAAATTGGTGCAAAGGACATTGCATGAAGTCAGCCTCTACAGATGGCATCCAAGAAAAAATCCATTGCATGAAAGGAGCCTGATGAATATTGGCAGCACATTCTTTGGTCAGATGAAACCAAAATAAATTGGTTTGGATCAGATAGAGTCCAGCATGTTTGTCATGGACCTGGCCAGGACTACCACAGTGACTGCAGAGTGCAAATTTTCAATTTTGTACAACCCAGCTGAGTGTAATCAACTTCTACTTTCGTGAGAAAGTCAAGCACATGCTGATTAAAGTTTTGTTATTCCATTTTGGCACCATTTATTTAGACAAAATTGACTTCAGCCCATGGCCCCATGTTAAGATTATATCTAAAAACTCACCTTTCAGAATATTTTACTCAACTTCAGCACAATTGTTGAAGTACAATTTCACTATTTCTGTCTTCTGATGCACTGAATCTGCTGCATTACCGAGACTAAACTAGACAACATTATCACCCATTGGCCACAGTCCCATCCTGATATCGTAATTTCAGAATATAATGTATGTAACTCTTATCAAATGGCTGTTTTTTATCTTTTTTTTTTTTTTTTTTTTTTTCTAGGAGATTAGAGTTTCATGGAAGGCCTGTATGAGAGAGAAGGTCAGCGCTATTAAAAGTGACATCTCCTGGCATGGCATTTAGCTAATCCCCTGCCTGTGTTACAGATAAATGGTCTAGTTACTAGCCTTCATTATGGCCAAAGAGACCTTGTGATATGGTAACCCAGGATGAAGATTTATATATAGAAGACTGCAATCCAATTATAGAAGCAGAACTGGCGTGTTGACAGTATTATTAATATTCTATCTGATGTAGAGGCCCTCTGTGGAACAGGAAAACGATTGTACTCTATCTCTCTCAGTCTGACACACATAGCATATTGTGTCATTCTGTTCTGTATCACACACTTGTGGCCCCCACGTCTAATACGGTATTATGGATTATTATGGAATGAGGCATCTCCCTTTCTGGTGTTAGGAGGGATATAGTCAGTGTGGAAGTAAAGACCTATGGAGAGGAAAAGGGTGGAGAAACAGGAAAGGAGATGTAGAAGATCCTATATACACAGGAAAAAGACAAGGTAAACAAAGGGAGTTACATACAGTATGGGGGCAGGAAACTGGGGGGAAGGAAGGGAGTGAGTGTGGTGAGATTAAAGAGTAAAAGGTAAACAGGTTCTGGGGCTTGAAGGTATGGACAACAGCACCCTCTTTCAGGTTATTTTTTGGATGTACAGTCCACAACTTTATTGTTTCGGTTGAGTCTTACCGCTCTCATCAACTCCATTTCCAAAAGCAGCTGTCTTTAACCTACTTGGCACAGCAAACTGACACAGTTTGTGACTAGCTAGTGACCATTGTAAGGCACCATAAAATGCAGGAGCTGGTAGAAACCAAAGCAGAGATTAAAAAAAAAAAAAAGACTGATATTGCTGCTTAGCTTTGCATTCAGTGCAGCATAAACTACTGATCTAGTTGTGTCTATACCACCCATAGTACGTTGCTGCTGCTGTTACCCCTTTGTCTAAAAGGTTTACAGTTGGCTGTGGATCTCCTGGCGCAATGCAACCTAGACAGTGCTAAGCTGCTTAGCCCATAGCAACCTTTGGCCAGCCTCTTGCTTACGCTGCCTCTTACGCACACACAGACGCACACACATTCATTCTCTGTCTTGTTTACATACATCAATACCGGCACTTCTTATTCTTATTTTAGCAGATTGGGAGAGGGAAAAGGCAAACTGAAAAGATGGGGTGGGGGGTGAGAAGAGTCATATTATAGAAGAAGTAAAAGAGGAAAGAATCTTGCTTTATGTTTGTGGTTTTCCACCTTAACGCCCCAATGAACAAGGTTTTCCAAAGAAAGGCCAAAATGTAAGCTATAAACTACAAATGAAAATGACAAATGTTCAAAGCAGGTATATTACAGTGTGCGGAGATACAGTATATGTCCCCTCTCAGTGAGAGCACCCGGGGTTGTAGCCGATGCTGTAGCTGCAGGAGGTGCTGGCAATGAATGTTTTATTAGCGTTAATGGGAAGAGATAAAGGACAAGAGTGAGTTATGAGATTAGGTGATGAGAAAGAGAGAAAGAGAATCTGGCAGATAAATTCTTGTAATATGAATCCCCTACTGTCTGTGTGATGAAATGATCTCAGGATAAAGAAACAGGGACATGGTGATGTACACTTTCATTAGCAGGGGATGCACAGCTCAGCTTTTATATCACTGTCTTTAATGTCAGGTAGAAGAATGAGGTTACGAATGGTCCAGGCAATACTTGTGTTTTAGGTTGAAGAAATGTTGATGTCATTGCTCAGTGGCACAGCTTGTTCTTCTGTTACCAATACCATATAGTGTTGTTAAGATGCATCATTTTCTTATAAATCCTCAATAAAAACATCATACTATCAATCAAAAAAGTTTGTCTCTTTTTATATGGTTATGTATATAGGAAGGATTTAATCTGTGCTTCTGGCTGTTCTTGTGCTTAATGTTGTAGGCAGCTAAATGGATTCATTCATTTGTGCCTCTGCACATGTGCCCACTTTTATTGCCTCCCCTCCTCCAATATTCATGTGTCCCTTTAGTCAGGGACAATAGACTGAGAGGAAACACCGCTGATGTTGCACCCTAAGCTTAGAAAGTCCTGATACCTGATACCACTTGATGCTAGGAGCTGACGAGGAGGAAGAGTGGGGGACAGGTGAAGGTGAAGGAGACGGATGGAGGGAGAGACAAAACAAGAGAGACACATGCAAGTAGAGGCTGCTTTTTAGAAATTGTCTCCAGGTCTATGACTTCAAATTTGGTTCCACTTTCAAAACATTTTTGTGACCTAACAGAACACATTTTTGGCCATAACTGAAGAGTTCATTTGCTAATTATAGCACGATTTAACACAAATGTCTAATAGGTTAAAATGATGAAGTGATGACATTATATATCCAAATGGTCAAAAGTCAACTTCACTGTGACATATATGTATAACATAACGAAATGTTCTGCAAAAACACTTCTGGTCATTATTTAATGCTGTAACACAGAAACAGAAGGGGAGGTTGTCACCATATTTCCTGGAACTTGACTGGTTGGTGAAGGCATACAACCGTGAGGCAGTATTACTAGTTTTTAAATAAATTGTCTGTTTTAGTGAATTTGAAGTTGTTATTCCCAAATATATTGAAATAATGGCTGAAATGTTCCACATGAATTCACGTAAATCAAATTTGAATACATATCGGCTTTTCTGATCTGCTGTTGCATTATGAAACACCCCTCAGGTCGCCTGGGACAGGACAGGTCTGCTGTCTGTCCCCAGAGTCAAAACTAAACTTGGGGAAGCATTGTTCAGTTGTTATGCTCCACATAGCTAGAACAAACTCCCAGAGAACTGCAGGTCTGCTGCAACTCTCAGTTCTTTGACATCAAAGCTGAAGACTTTTCTGTTTGCCTTGCCTTTGTTTTTAATTAAATCAATGAATTACTAATTTCTTTCACTGCACAGTAAGTTTTACCATTGTATCTCTTTTTTTATTTTTCAGTAATTCTTTTTAATTTCTATCTAAATGCTTTTTTTCTGTCTTGTGTTACTTTTACTTTTTGTGTTGATGCTGTTTCTATTGTACTTTGAATTGCCCCGTTATTGAAATGTGCCATCCAAATCCTCTTGCTTTGCCTGTTGTTTTCCTTTCTTTATTTTAGATTTTTAATATTAGATACTGATCCTCAGTGTTTTTGTGGTGTTTTCCAGAGGAGGAGCTGAGGAAGCTGCGGGAAGAGACCAATGTGGACTCCCTGCGGCAGGAGCTGGAGAGGGAGCGAACCAAGAGGATAGACCTGGAGCAGAAGATGAATGAGGTGCTCAAATCCAGGTAAGACAGGAAGATGGAGAGCAGAGCGCAGGGACAAGAAATGGGGATTAAATGTGCGATATGGGAAGTAGTAACGAAATGACATTTCAGCTCAGAGTTTATTACAGGTCAAGTTGCATGGTGCGTGCGTGTGTGTTGTGTGTGTGTGTGTGTATCAGTCCTGGTGCTACCCAAGGTTTCTGTTATAAATAGAGGCCTCAGCAGCTTAGTAAGTGGGGAATTCCACAAGGTGCGTGCGTGTGTGTATGTGTTTTGACAGAGATAGACGAAGAGAAAAAAAAAAAACAGAAGCAAGTCACGCGCTGGTATGTGTCGCCAAGTGCACACTGTGACACAGTAGTTATGCTGGTGTCAGGAAAAGCCTGCGTCTCTTTAACACCAGCCAAACAACCCTCGTGTGCGCATGTTTGGCGCTGCCTGTGTGTGTGTGTGTGTGTGTGTGATCAGATGATGCTTCTGCCCCTGCCAATGGTAAATTCCACTGGTGCTCTCCAAGTGATTACCAGCAGAGAAACACAGCCTCAAGAATGTCAGAGACACTTCAGGATTTTGTGGGAGGTGAACTAATGGACCATGGAAGTTTTTCCTCATTAAATCCTTTGTCAGCAGTAACCAACTGGAGAGATGCATGTGAAGATAGCAGACGGTAAACATATTTCCTGTCACTAATATTGAAACAGCCCTGAACAAGACACTAGATATATTTTGTGAACATAATTATTAGACCTGAGATTCACCAGGAAGTAAATCACTTTAATATTGTTAGCAATTTTTGTGGCTTGTTATATTAGAATAATGCACTAATATACAGTAAAATGTGATAAGTAATGAAGAAAAAATATGTACAGGCTGGGCACGATCAGCCTGAAAATGGCTTAGGGTTATGGCTCAAAAGAGGTTTGATACAATACAAGATGGTAGACATATTAAAGGACAAACCAACAAAGTATTAAGCTGATCCATCAAAAGCTGCCTGTTTCAGTTCTCCTCTAAGTCTCTGGGACTCTGCTGGAGGGATGAACACCATTCCTATAAAAGATTTCACTCTCCAACACAGTAATGCAAAGTTTACCATAGGTGTGTTGTTCGAGTTGAGATCACATGATTCACCTCACTGTCATACTCATCACCATTCACTGATACCTCATGCCCTGTAGTGTTTATGTAGCTTTTTCCTTCAGTTTGTCACCCTCCTGTATAAAACAGCAGCCCTTCCTGTATATGCAGTGGCAGTGATAGTTGTATGGTTATTAGGGTCTCTCTATATATATATTTTCTAAGTACCCAAACATTATCTATCTTCTCATTTTCTATTTTATAAAAGTTTATTCATTAAAGGAGTCATTACATCTAATCTGATGTAACTATGTTATGAGTTGTGTTATGTTGCTTTTTTTAACTGTGTAATGAATATGTGTGGTCTCCACTCTGGCCTACTTTATCCTCCATATATCCTATAAGTCATTTGTAGAAGAAAGCTTCATTGGTGGTTAAACTTTTCTTATTTTAAATGAATTATCATGCATATAGATTTCATATTTTTTATACATAAAAATAATCAAACCTTTTTGTAATGGAACAATAAATGTGTTATTTATATATTTCTAATTATTTGGAAACAGTGAATGAAATTATAATGAATGAAATAATGAATAAAATAATGAAATAATAAATAAAGTAATGAAATAAAAAAGAAAAACAGGGGAATTTCAGTCTGTTTTTCGGAGTCTTCCTTTAGCACACTGGAATGTTTTTGAAGCCAGTCACAGACGCGTTGGATTCGACTCCTTTTCTTCACCTCTGTTGTGGTGTTGGAGGTTTTTCCACCTCTTCCCGCTGCTCTGTGTGACCCTGGCTCATGGTCACGTTGTCCTGCACTGCAGTGATGACAGCAGGTTCATCAAGGGGGATCTGAGGAGCTGATGGCAGTGGAGCCACAGCAGAGGCTGTAGCTCATGTCATATTTGATGCCAGTGTTGGCAAGAGGTTCAGCTCTCAGGGTAAGAAGAGTTGGTGGAAGAGAAACAGCAGCACAGTCTGGTTCTCCTGTTGGTTCTGTGTCTTCTTCCAGACAAGACTGCAGTCATCCTGTTCCTCATCTGTGGGGCTCAGATCAGCAGACACTGCTGCACGAGTCTGAAGCTGGGGCTGAAACAACGCACAGATTTCCCCGGTTGCAACATGAGTGATGCTGGTCAGCATGTCTGTTGCGAAGCTCCCCAGTTTCCTGACAAGGACATCCTCAGTGTAAGCCTGTCTGACCTTTGTGTTGATAGACAGGACCAAGTTGTCCCTGGTGGGCAGGAGAAGCTGATCTGTCGGAGCATAGTGGACAGAGCATTGGAGACCTGGTCCAGAACAGCGTTTGTGATGCTGACAGCCATTTCACTGAGCTGCTGGGAGGGCTTATAGGGGCTTAGAGGAGGCACCCAGAAGCCCTGCAGAACTCCGGGAACCACCTGGATCACCACATCCCGTGGGCCAAGTAGCTTGTTGCGGGGCGCCTCCTGCTGCTGCTCTGTCAGGGTCTTGGCATAATCCTGAGCCCCTTTAATGATCATTGAATGCTGAAAACATGGAGGCATGGCCTCTGGAAAGTTGAGTAACTTTGTGCCTTCGAATCCAATGTCTCTCATCTTCATGCTGGTGTTCACCTCCCACACCAGTGTCAGAAGAGTCTTGGTATCAGCATCACTGAAGTCTTCAACTTCAAACTCCCAGAGCTGCACTCTTAGAGTGCTTTTGCTCTGGTCCACCAGCAGGTCATATCCTCAAGAGTCACTGTTTTCCTGTTGTAGCTTGATAAGTTCAGCCACGAGTGCAGTCTGAGCCTTGTAAGAGCTGATGTTCCAGCAGAGCTGCAGAGCCCGTTTGATAAATGGCTGTGCCAAACGGCACCCTGATGGGTCTGTACGAGCCTTCCATGAACTTTATGAGTAATATGTTGCTGTATATCTGCAGAACAACATGAATTGTCAAAGTGACGACAAATTACTTAAAATGATCAGTTGAACTCAAACACAGTCGGTCCTTCAGGAACAGGAAAGTGTGTTCAGGTTGGAGAGTGTGTGAAGTATGTATGTGTATGTATTACTAATGTATTTATTCTTCATTTATTTTCAGTATTTCATTTATTTAAACACAAGCCTCCAGGCTTTTTCAGAGTAATTATTCCTGTTGGCCTCACATATATTTTAGGGCCAAGCAGCAAATGCTGCGGGATCCCTATTGTTTTTGTTCTCGTTATTATTATTCTTTAGTATTTTTCTCTACTAAAAGTGTTAGTGTAGCGGTCCATAATTTCCTAATAATTTCCACAAAGTTTCTTGGAAAGAACTGTGTATTTGGTGTTAGTTCCAGCTTTCACTTGGTACACTTCTAATTAATGAATTCCAGTTGATTATAAGTGTAACGTATAGAGACTCATGAAAAGTTTTCTGCAAACATACCATTAAATATACTGTATATGAAGGATACATTTCCTTATGATAAATGAATGGTGATGAAATATTTAACCAGGTGGAAATCGAACTTTTCTTTTAAATCATTTCCTATTTTCCTAATAATTCACACCAAATGACACAGTTCTTTTATGGAAACTTCTCGGAAATTATTTGGGAATGACAAATATAAAATATTACCAACTTACTGTATCTCTTGAGGCACTAACTTTTAGTAACAAAGAATTGCTTTGTATTTCAAGAGAGAAGATCAACACTATCTCTCTGTTTTCTTGGCCATTAGCAGAAAACCCAACGACCATAATACCATTAAAGTTGTTGGTCCAAACTATTGGAATGCTTTTTCGTCTTGATACTTGATTCTGCCTGTATGCCTATTTATTTATGTCAGTGCAACAGATGGAGAAGGACTCATCCATGTTCTATGTTTTGCTCCTGTTCACAGGTTTGCGTAGATTTGCTTGACTCGAATATACAGAAGTAAAAACTAATGTGTGAGGTTGTAAGTGCATGTTTTCTTGGTCTCTGTGTGGGCTCTTTCTTTCATTCTGTTTGTGTTTGTCCAAAAAATGTTAGAGACTTCACAAAGGCAGATGGAGACCGAAGTTGTTTTCCTTCACTCCCTCTTGTCTCTGTGTGTGTCTCACTAACGCTTTTGACAGTTGTTGATTTATCCAGTGCTGCAGCTCTCCACATATTAAAATGAGAACTTCCTGAGACCTGCCTGCTGTGTGACTGTAGCTCTGACAATAGAGAAGTGAGACTGACACTTGACCGATCTTCCCCCTTCTCTCCCTCTCTACTCTCTCTACCCCGCAGGCTGGAGGACTCTCCACCACAGCCTCCCCGAAAACAGCAGTCGCCCTCAAACAATGGAACAGGTAAGACCTTGGTGGAAAAGAGAGAGGGGGTTGGTTGGGTGAGCGGGAGGACAGGAAATGAGTAGGGAAGGAACACTTTGACGGCTTCCGAGTGTGGGAGTAAATCAAGAGGGCTGTGCGTGTGTGCGTGTGCGTGCATGTGCGCAGGCGAGCTGGGGATGTAGGATGTGTGTGGTGGAGAGCTTGTTAGAAACAGAGTGTGTCAGAGGGGTTCTTGGGTTATTCTAGGACATATAGCAGGGTGTCATGTGCATGGTAACAGAAATACACGTTTACGGGGTGATTTCTGGTGTGAAATCAGTTGTAAGAAGAGAAAGGATGCAACACAACAAACTGCATCAATGCACTGAAAACTGTTCCTCTGTGGAGGTTAATTGCTGTTATTAGTACAGATTTGCACTGCTATTGTCAGTGCCATAACAGTGTGTGTTTGTGTATGTGTGTTTTTCAAAATCTGTTAAGGAAGGGACCTCATTAGTGCAGACAGATGGTATCTGCAATGTGTGTGTTTATTTGTGTGTTTTGGGTTTTTTTGTCATGGTTTGACTTCCAATGACCTAGTGACTTGTGTGTGTGTGTGTGTGTGTGTATGTGTGTGTGTGTGTGTGTGGTTTCAGAGAGAGAAATGAAGGGAGAGACCGAGTAAAGCTAATTTTGGAAAATGGGTTATGATTGTAGATCATTTCATCTAGGGCAGACAAGCCCAAGCTCTAACTAGTGTCGTAGGTGTGTGTGGATGTCAGTGTTTTCAGAATGGATTAAGTGTGTGTCTTTGTGTGTGTGTGTATGTGTGTGTCTGTGTCTGTGTGTGTGTGAGTGTGTTTGGGGTTTGTTAGTGTGGATTAAAGGACAGCGAGAAAGTGAATGTAACATGTTAGATAAAGGAGAGAGGCTGAACAGAGTAATTTGGGCTGATGGGACGTTGGTAACTGTAAACTACAGATTAAAATGGCCTGTAACTGAATGTCATCATCAGCACAAAAATAGTTGTTTTCATAATAAATCTGTTGCAGGAAAAACAACCCTTTCAGAGCTTTAACTCTTCCATAATTACATTGTCTTTTTTATTCCATTGTGTATTTATCCTCTCTGTGAAATTTGACTGAGCTGCTTTTGTTTTTTCTGCTTCACATTCAGCCACTCTCAGTAACCTGTGGTAACTGTTCAGTACAACCACAGTCGTACTCACACGGCCCTGCCAGATGAATTCAAGTAGCAACATCAACACCACCAGTCATGTTAAGCGTGTGTTCATTTGAATCCATTTTCAACACTGGACATTGTTACAAAGGTGTTTTCAAGTGTTTCACTAGCAGATTTTATCATCTTATGCTGACTAGCATAAAACGGTTCATTTTAAACTAGAATGGTCATAATTATGACTCTGGCTACATAAAGTACATGATATTGTGCGAAAAGACTGAAGCTAAAGCTGCACGTCCAGGACAAAAAGTCAGCAGCCTCACCAGCTGAGAAAAAATGAAGCAACAACTTTGTTTGTGCAGTGTTGTCCTCATTTACATTTCACTTCAATATCATGAAGTTGTAATTACACAATGCAGAGGGCTTTTAATTTGAAACAATGGACAAAGTGGAGACATGTGGTGACACCCAGCCAAGGCGAGAGGGTGAGAGAGAAAGATGAGCGAAAGGTCGATTTAACTAGTTAAATAGATTTTATTACCTATTGATATTCACTTTGACCACCATTGTACTATGTGCCAGGTACAACCAATCCTTCCAAAAAAGAAGACACAAGCCTCCGAGTTCTTTAGAGTTTGTCTTTAATGTTTTTTTTTCAATTACTACAGCCCCATACACACTGCTTCAACATGTCCATGTCAAATCCAAAGCTTGACGGTTTCCAGTCGTGGCTAGGTACAGTTGCTAAGCTATGATAGGACAGTTGCTGTTAGTGGGCGGGGTTGAGCGTGGACACGGAGGGAATTGTTTCCCATTGTGTCAAACCTAATTGAAGGTGCTGATTACATCCCCATTCTGTTCTCTTTAGCAGATAAACAGCAGAAGGAGGTGTGGAGTTCGCGGCTGCAGAAGTGGCTCTACGAGCGCTTCGGAGTTTACATCGAAGACTTCCGCTTCCAGCCGGAGGAAAGCACCGTGGAGACCGAGGAACCGCTAAGTGCTAAAAGGTGGGAGAGAGCTGCTTTTGAATAGAATGTTAAGAGTCTGTCCTGAGGTATTGATCTGCGGTTGCTCCAGGAGATGTGGAGACAGAGATACTCAGGGTACACAGTCAGGAATCGGTATATGTATTGCCTTTATTTGAGAAACTAATTAAAATCATATAGTGTTGTATTTACCTTAGAGATGTGCTATACTGTAGCTGTCTCACTGCTGCTTTGAGCTATTACATTGCAGAATGTTGATTGCTCAATGCAATGTATTCAAATCAGCCTAGATTTAACAGCGAGGAGAGAAAGTTAGAACTCCTTTTCTCACATATTTTCTTCGTTCATTCTTTCTTCCCTCTTCTGTAAAGACGAGTGAGTCATTCCAGGCTGATGAAGGCCAAGGTGTCACCACCTCCACTCACACCCAAAGCAGCTTTTTCTTTGCGTGTGCGTCTGTTTTTACACAAGCATCTATGCGTGTTCTGACCTTCACTTTTTGTGTTTACCATTCAGGTTGACAGAGAATATGAGGCGACTCAGTGAGTACTCAAAACACAGATATAGAAAACCAAACAACTGAATTTAGTCTTCCATAACTGGTTTTCAGGGTGAAAAAATGTCCCTCACTTGGAAAAATGAAGTCTCATTTAAAGATCTACATTTATTTCACACATTTTAATGCTTTGAAATCAATACTGATATAACAGAAACAGTGCCATTTTTACATTAATCACGAATATATCCCTCTACCCTTGTTTCAGAGAGAGGAGCCAGACCTGTCACCAACTTCTTAAGGAACCTCTCCGCCTTATCTAACTGGCACTCCGTCTACACCTCAGCTATTGCCTTCATTGTGAGTACACTTTTCCTACTCATAATTCACAGCTCACTAACACATTATTATTTTAATTGATTTTCTTTTTTACTTAGATTTGACAAAATATCTCAATATATCATCATGTACAAAAAAGTGAGATCTATAGATTTACTCTGAGGCAATTTTTTCTTACACCCCTACTCCATGACAGTAAAATCATTTCTGCTCCATAGTGACAGATTACAGTGATTCTGCCAAAGACCACACAGGTCAAATCAGATCTTTGTTAATGTCCAGAGTCAGTGATTATGCTAAGTCATCTTCAACCCACTGGCAATACATGCCAAGACCATCTCAATATCTCAAGATGATCTTGTTCTAGTGTTGACAGGTAACTCTTATAGCATCTGCCATTATAAAGCCCAAAATGAAATGTTTGAAGTCATTGTGTCAGAACGAGCCTCCCAAATCATCATTAAAAGGAATCTTTACATTTATCTTGTCATCAGTTGGTTTTTTTTTCTCAGACTTAAAGCCACACAGTTTTCCTAGGCAGAGCTCTGTCAAATGAAGCTTGGTAAGGATAAACCACTATGGTGGAAGAGTGACACCTAAAGGAATACTTGTTATCAAAGTAGAATTTGTAATCTCTACAGATAGTTAGGAGTTTTCTCTCAGGGTGGATGAGCTGCTGTCTTGGTGAAAAAAAAATGAGTCATTGCATCAACTTATTGAATACAAATTCTGACAAGTGAACAGCATTATTGGCTGAATTAATTCAAGTTGATGAATAAAAAATGATCAATAAACCAAATGTATATTCTGTTGTTTCCTTTTGCCTGCAGATCTACATGAATGCTGCTTGGCATGGCTGGGCCATTCCCATGTTCCTCTTCCTGGCTATCCTGCGATTGTCCTTAAATTACCTCATTGCCAGGTAAAAACATTTCTAATCTAACCAGTAGACAGTCTTCTAGTAGAGGAGCCGTTGTCCAGTTTTTATTGTAATGTTACTACACTGCTGCCTTGGCTTTGAACTGAATAGCTTCTGAAAATAGTATGTTTTTCAGCTGTTGGATGGTTTACTGTACGTTTTGTGTAATAAAACACTTTTTTAACTTGATATCTGAGGCTACAGGTGAACAGATACACGCTGTGGACACACAGCAAATGTTATGGTTATAATAGGCAGATTTTTAAAACACGCACACATGCTTGTGTTTATGATCATCATAACTGGACCACAGAAAACCAAGACAACACATTATATCAAAGAAGCTTTTATTCACTGATGCAAACAGGCATATGTAATTAAGGTTATACAACCATCAACAAAATCATTTAAAGTGGGGTGTGTTGGGGGGTCATTATGAAATTAGGGCACATTAGTATTTGTCAGACATCTCTCTGGGCTTAGATTATCAAACTGGGACAGCTGGTCACCTTGAATGAAGGTTGTAACTTAACTTCGGAGGTTGAAGACCAGTCTGGAGGCCTCGTTTTATCCAAACAAAATGCCTTGTAAAATTCACTTTTTTTCCAATTTTCCAGAGGTTGGAGGATCCAGTGGAGCATTGTGCCTGAGGTCTCTGAACCCATGGTAAGACAACGTCCCACTTCCTGTTTCATAGCTCCTGTCTGTCAGAGTAAAAATCTATCCACCAGCAGAGGTCAATTTGTCTTATTAATTTGTCTCTTTGATTTATGCAGGAGCCTCCAAAGGAAGACTTGACTGTGTCTGAAAAGTTCCAGCTTGTACTTGATGTTGCACAAAAAGCACAGGTACAGCACGCATGATAATTCCTCTCATATTAGACTACACAGATAATGAAACAGTCTTGGTTCATACAGTGATTCAACTCTCTTTACAGAACCTTTTTGGTAAAATGGCGGATGTTTTGGAGAAGATAAAGAAGTAAGTTTCTTCAAAAAATTCTGCATTGCAAGCAGCGAATACAAAATGACTGAAAGATTGACTTTTATGTTTTGTTTTCTCTTCTCCCACGTGATTGTGTGCATTTGTCTTTCAGCCTGTTCATGTGGGTGCAGCCGGAGAGCACCCAGAAACTTTACATCTGCCTGTGGGTGACTTTCATCACCTCCTGCGTCCTGCCATACAAGCTGATGGGCTTCATGATCGGTGAGAGACGTACATACACACACGCATACACACACACACACACACACACACACACACACACACACACACACACACACACACACACACAAAGCCTCCTTATCCTCCTGACACACTGTACATACTGCATTTGGCTCTGAATGAAAATACTTATACTCAATCCAACGCACACAAACAAATACGTTCATGCAACACTTGTGCAACTGTTCTCTCTGTGCCTGTGAGGGGCAGCTGCAGGCTGTTGGCATGCCTCATAATAACTGTTTCAGCTATTTCTTGTAAACAGAGGGTCTACAGAGCAGTGTGTGATTAATATTTCCTTGAAAGATGCTGAGAGCAAAAATAATTGTTGACACAATGGTAGTATTTATTCAGCTAGCAAAAAAGGGTTACTTCTCACGTGAGCCCTAAATATACTTCATTGCTACTGTAAATGTAAGGCACAACCAAAATCACTGTAGATATAACATCTGGTACCAATCCAACATAACTACCTACACCTGTTTTGTTATCAAATTGCTCAGGTTGTCAAATGTTTGTCAGATCAGGAAAACATCCAATCAGGATCAACTGCTTCCACTGCTTCCACATCTTTAAGTTGCCAACCATATCTTATATCTGTTAAGTGGCTCATCAAAGTTGGTTGGAGAAACAGATGACCAGTCGGAGGACGGTAGGTGGGCTTAAGAACAGGGACGTAATGGTTACACATAAGTAACTGGCTACATTAAAGAAAAGTTGAACAGAAAAATCAGGACAAGCGTGGATGTAATCGACGCAGCTGTACAAGTCGTTCTATGTCCATGTACAGAGATAACAACTTTGTCTTATTCCTTTGATCAATGTGAAAAATGTGAACTGTTCCGAACAGCAGCTACAGCATCTTCATTGTTAGTTAAGAACAAAGTCAGTGGGTGTGTTAGATGCTTAGCCGCTGATTGGTTAGGGCAAAATGTAGACTGAAAAACAAAAAATTGCCTTGTTTTAATCAACAAGTTAACTAACAGGAGTTCACTGTCAGGCTGAATGAATGAGATGAAACAAAATGGCAGTTCAGTCTGATTATCATGCTAATTATTGGCGACCGCATTTAATATTTTTGCTGTGTTTGTAACCATCAGTATTTTTTGGGCTTTTGCCAAGTTAGTTTAAAAAAAGTGACTCAGTTTGTACACTCGGTGCCCAATTCTCCCTGTCCTGTTGGAATATGTACAATATAATTCAAGGCTTATTTTTGTTATTAAATTGTTGTCAGTCCCAATAATAAAAACTTCAGCTCTTTTTAATATGTCTGATAAAAATACTGAAAAGGAACCGATATTGAAGGGGAAAGTATATAAAGAATTCGAATGAGCGGAGGACACAAAAGGCTCCAACAAGGCCTTAAAAACAAAGATTATTTGAGTACTGGGAGAGGAGGAGATGACTTTTTGCCCATCGACCTTGCTGTACAAGATTTAGTTAATAACCTCTGCCTATTCTGTGTCTTCCTCTCCCAAGGCCTGTACGCCGGCATCAAGTTCTTCATTATAGACTTCCTGTTCAAGAGTTGTCCGAAGCTGCGGGACAAGTACGACACACCTCACATCGTGTGGAACAGCCTGCCCACCGACCCACAGCTCAAAGAGAGGACCAACGCCACTGTGTCGCGGCGGGTAAGGCGACCAAGACACACAAAAACACATCTTTATCAGCTCATTCATTTCCTCTTCTCACATGTTAGTGCTTTCCTAAACTAACCCTCAACACACATACTGACCGTACAATGCAGCTTAGTTTGAAACCTGACTATAACTATAAAATATGTTGGAAATGCATGTGGATTATTGCTGCTAATTCTCTGCTCAAGCCGACTTTGTTGAGAACTGAAAGCCTGAAGTTTGACCAAGGTTATAGCTATAGAGGCTTTGCATTTGCGTCACAAAACTTTTAGCTACTGCAGTGAGCTCCGCTGAAGATTTAACAGTAGCTTTGTGAACAGAATAGTCAACAATTTTTCTGAATTGATCTTATTTCCATATAACTAGTCAATTAGCTAGTTCAGCAAAGAAGCTAATCTTAATAAAATGTTAAAAATGACACAAAATTTGCTTATGTCCATTTAACACGGGATGGAAAGTCAGGTGTTAGATGTACAAATTTCATGTTGGGGTGGCAGAAGAGTTGAGCTGCAGGTCAGGTCTTTCATGTTGGCATGAGTCCACCTAGTGAAGCGTCAGTCTGCCTCCCACTGCTGACCCCCTGTGGAGAGGCAAAGAGAAAAAAGAGATCAATAACGTATCAAAATATTACTCATCAATAATACATTAAAATTCAGGCACTCACTGTCTGTTCTCACTGTGTGGACACCACACAGTGTCTATATATTTTGGTTTGAGCGTGTGAGCATGTGTGTGTGTCTTTGCTGTGGCCTCAGTCACAGGTGTCCTCTGTCGTTTCTCTCTCTCAGCTCTCTGGCACTGAGAAGGTAGGGACTCTGGTGTGTCTCCGTTTGGTTCCTAAACTGTGCCTGGGTGTGCCGCCAGCTCACCTCAAAGCGTGTGTGTGAGATGTGTGACACCTTGAGACTGGCTGTCAATGATTGTAAACAGAATGGATCAAAATGTCACAAAAGCCTGTAACCTATAATTTAGTTATAGATTTTTATTTATTTTTTTTGTAATTTCTCATAAATGTCACAGTGACTGTTTTTTGTCAACATACAAACTTGTGAATAATAATTGACATTTTTGATCCATTGCCATAGATGCTCTGTGAGAAGTAGCAGTGTGTTAACTGAGTAGTTCACATGCACACAGACTAGCCCCTTGACCACTGTAATTTCATATTAGCTCATTAGGTCCTTCCTTTCCCCCACTGTCGGTAGTAATTATCCCTGTAGTTTAATTGCTTTTAGAATTTTTAAATGTTGGTTGATTTAATTCAACCTTTTTTTTTTTATCATGTGTAGCCATTTAACTTAAGATGACATCACAATAAGTTTGTAATTCCAACTTTAATATATAATGCAGATACATTTTAGTGGAACTGTTTCTATATACACCTTTATAAATATATATTCAATTTTGTCATACTTCACAAACTAACAAGTATTTTTGGCCGACCAGCTGTCTTTATGTAACAGTATGTATGCTGAGTGAATGATGGCCTCACTCTCTGCTTTGCACGTCACACCTGAGCCGGCTGCAGAGAAACACATGATGCAATAAAAAAAAAAGTTGAGGAGCTGTTGCAAGTGTGGCCACTTGTCCCAATAGATCTGGGAACATTCGGTCCTATTGGATGGTACCACATAATCTGGCGTGATCCTTGATTTTAAATATTTCTCCCTCTCCTTCCTCCTTTCCCTCATTCTCACACCGTTCTCTTTCCCTCCTAACTGTCATCCTTTTTTCCCCATGCCCTTTTTGTCTCCTTCATGGCCATTCTTCTCTCACTTCCCGTCATCCTGCCTGTTTTTCTCCCCCTCCCTCCCTCCTTCCTGCCCTCCCTCTCCCTCCTCCGTCTCTCTCCAGGTTCAGCCGGTGGTCTCTCGCAGCAGCCTCGCCACCGTCCCATGTGGGGTGAGCAGGGAGGAGGAGACGGGTCGCTCCCACAGCACCAAGAAGGGAGCTTTTCATGAGATCTTCAATCTGCCAGAGTCAGAGCGCCCTCTGGCGGGTAAGGGGACTTACTGTAGCATAAAAAAAACACTGGCACCTGTTTTCATTAGCACTGTGTGCACTTGAACCAGCTCAGAATAAGCAAAAAAGGTGGATTTTCTTACAGTGGTTAAAAACCAGGTTGTGTAAATGTTTTTACCAAGACCAAAGTTGTCAATGTTCTCTATTCTGTGTTTCCTCAGTGTGTGAGAACGGCTGGAGGTGTTGCCTGATAAACCGAGACAGGAAGATGCCCACAGACTACATCAGGAACGGCATGCTTTACGTCACAGAGAAGTAAGTGGGACATCTTCTCTCACGAGAGCATCTTCCATCATTAAATATCTGACTGCAAAAGAGAAAAAGAGGTTACTCTGAAAGTTGGAGCAGAGAGAGGGAGCGAGGAATCACTTAAGCAAATGGGTGTGTGTTAATAAGTTCTTGAAACGGTTCTTTACTAAGAGCTACTCCCCATCTTCTCTCTCTCCTCCTCCCTGAGTGTGTCAGTCAGTCAACAGTGGATCAAGTGAGACAGGCCTCCTCCTGAGAATATCCCTGCTCTTTAAATCTCTTCACCTCTCTCGATTTGTAACAAGAAGTCGATTAAAGTTGTCGTCTGTTTAGCTGGCCTGCTTGTTTTCTCAGGACGCCTCTCAGCTATTGACTTCCTCTCTCTCCCTCTGTCAGTTACCTGTGCTTTGAGAGCTCCAGCTCCAGATCCAGCTCCTCCAAAAAGAATAAAGTTATCAAGCTGGTAGACATCACTGACATACAAAAGGTAACCACGCTTAAATGCACATTAAAACCACTTCAAAGCCAATTGAATTTTTAAATGAATGTACCTTTGCAAATTCAACTAAACATAGTAGATGGCATTGAATCCTTCAACTGTGCTTGTTCATCTCTCTGAATCATCGGTAAATGTGATAGAGATTGCAGCATTAAGTTAAATACCTGCTGACTGATTCATCATGAGATAATGCTGTTAAACACTGTAATGACCTTCCTGTTTTTTTTATTCACCAGTATAAAGTGCTGTCAGTCCTGCCAGGAAGTGGGATGGGCATCTCCATAGCCACTCCTTCCACTCAGAAGGTACTGTACAGTTTTATTTCCTATTTTATTGTGGGTTCAAACTGGATTTTTTAAATGTATACATATATTAGAATAGATTCTGTGAGATTTTGCACTTTGTCAACAGGTAAATGCTCAAGGGTTTGACCTCATGTATTTTTTATGCATTTATTCAAACTACACATTGTTTAAAACATTGAATTTATAGTGGCTGAGATGTTGTTTGTGTTGGTGTCTTTTCCATCAATATCATCAATGACTACTCAGCACTAACCTGCTATTTGCGTTCCTAATATGGGAAAGTTTGCTTCATTCATTAACAGGTTAACTATAGAGAATGGCAACAAGCTGCCTGAGGAGTAGTGTTGATAGATGCAAGAAATATTTTATCCCACTAGATAGTAGATGAGAGGTCATCCAACACGTAGTGTGTCGATTAGGACTACAGCAGCATTAAAGATTAATTGTACTGTAACATGTTTACCAATATGTACATTTGAATATGTAGATATGTTTTAATTATTCAGCGTCTCTTTCCTCCAGCCATTGGTGTTTGGTGCCATGATCCACAGAGATGAGGCTTTCGAGGCCATCTTCACACAGTACATGAAGATCATGACCACCACCAAACCACCAGCCGCTGCAGAGCTCTAGACAGCCTGCATCCCTGCAGCACATCTCTGTACTGGGGTTAAAGTCTGTGGCAGAGAGCCTCCTGAGTTTCTACTGGACTGGAAGATACTTTCAAAGACCACACTCCTCTGCTCTGCGAGATCCTCCTCCTCCTCATGTGATGGGCATCAGCTTCCTCATTGATGGTCGTGGGCTGCATTTGATTGGTGGCTTCCCTGTTTAGGCCACATCAGAGGGGATGTGAGAGTGTAATTGAGATTTAGTCACATAACATACGTTTTGTGGGTGTTGGACAATTGGACAAAATCAGGAGCGAGGAGCTGAAGTGTGGTTTTTATCAATCAGCAGAAGGCTGGTGAGGGGGCTGGTTTACCTCTCCCACCTGACCTGACCAACTGACTGGCTGACTGGTTTCCTGACTTACTTGTTTCTGTGTTTGCATGTTTGAGCGTGTGTGTGTGTATGGAGGTGAATTAAGGTCTTAAATTGCGTCAAGTGGCTCGATTTTTCTCATTATTCCTCAGTCAGTGGTTTGCTGTTGTCGGAAGATTTCAAGAAGTGCTCGATCTGGCTGTAAAATGAAGCTCATAAAACAACTAAAAGATAAACAAATAATTCTTTAACTGCCAGACATCTGTAGGAACAAACATGTAAGTTTAGCTTTATAAATCAGTGCAAAAATGATGTTAATGTTTAGACATTAAACTGGCTGATTGGTGCCTCTAGGCACTGCCCAACAAAATTATAGGAGTATTCACGTATGAGTGATCAGTGATAGTGTTTTTTAAAATCTGTATTAGCTGTGAAAATGTCAGATCACCATTTGACTGACACAGAGCCTTTCTGTTAGTTTACATTGCTGCTGTCTAACTTCTGGATTTCCCCTCTTCTTTCTAGAGTCACATTTCAGCAGCGACAGTAAGTTTTACTCATCTTTGTCGATCCCAACAAACAGAAAATGTACGCTGCGTTCAGCATCATCCGCTTCAGTGTTTGTAAGTGTGCGTATGTGAAACGTGTAGTCGACAGCTTTTTCAAAAATGCCTTTCTTTTGGAAAATGTCTTTTTTTTTTCTCTCTCTCTCTCTTATTTTTGTCTTTGTAACAAACAGCCTTTGGGATGAGTAACTGGCGGTCCTGTAGTTGCTGGTTGTGTCTGACACGAGAGCACAACACCGACTGCCGTTTGGAGTTGTGGCACAGAGGAGAACATAGCCTCCCATGTCTAAGCTTCTCTTTTCAAGGCACAGTCTGTACATATGTAGTGAGATGTTCTTTTCTCTCCGACAATGGTATTCCTCCTGCACTTTATTAGAACTGGAATTCCTGACATTAATGTTGCAGCAAATAGACTTCAAACGCTCACTACTTCAGCTGGAGTCTATGGTCAGTGTTGCAGATAAAGGTATTTTTCTTTTGTCTGGCTACTTGAGCCCAGCACCGGCCATATCCTGCTGGTGGCAGTGCAGCACAAACGCAGTCTGAGCACACTGTATTAATGCCGAATTGATGTCTGCCACGGGGAGGGTGTTATTGTGAGTCAGACGACCTTCAGACTGACCATAAAAGAAGAAGGTACTTTACCTTGATAATGGAACCACTGGCAGATTACTTTCACATCACTGCCCCTCACACATCAAAGTGTTGAGGTATTTCAGCCTTTAAAATATAAATCATCCAAGACCAGTGGAGAAATATTCATTAAACATGTCTTCTTCTGATTGGGTATTCCCACTTCCATAAATACCAGCTGGTCAGGCTGTTTGAGGTTAGATAAGCAGTAACAAATTCTTGATTTACTTACGCGAGTCCATTTTTCAAATCCAAAAACCAGGATTATGAGCTATAAAGACATGCCTCATTAGTTTCTTTTGTTTGTTTGTTGTTTTTGTTTATTTGTAATGCCACAGTGAGTAGAGAGTCATCTGGGTGACTTCCACTCTCTTCCACTTGTTCCAGATCTTCTAAATGTAGTTTTTTCTCTTTTTTTTTTTTTTTTTTTTTTTAAATGGTAGTCTATGAAGTATATGGATAGACGTCTTGACTGAACAGAATATTTCAACGTCACTTTATTTTAAGACACCATTTGCAAGAATAAAGCTGGTCTTTGCTCTGGCAGAATGGTTTGATATGTAGAAATATAATGCCAAACTACATGAGACACTTTACCGTGTTTTGTAAGATGAATGGAGATAGGGTACAGGACTGGAGGTCGTGATTTCTCTTCACATTTAATACGAGAGACAAAAGAGTAGCTAATCCACTCTCCCAGCTCCCATTCACTGTATGCCCAGCAGCACAAGCTTTAGTTTTCTTTTAAGTCTCACAAAACACTGTTAAAAGGGAGACCTTGACATTTGAATATTTACTTTTATTCTGGGTATTTTTACTCACTGGACACTTCTTTCCATGTTAACAATCCTTGATCACACTTCTCACCATAGGCCAAGAAAACCGGAGGATTATTTTCAGTTATCAGCCCTTTAGAATTGCTCCCGGACTTAAAATGTCAAGGTTTCTCTTAAAGTCTATACAAGTCCTCTTGTCATCATTATTAATTAGAATCAACTGGACTGGATATGAAGTTGCCAGAGATGCAATGGACCAGTTCAAACAACCATATTGATATTGTTTTTAGTCCAAGCTAATTAAGGATGTATATTTTTCTTTGACATGCATTTGTATGCTTTGGCCTGCTATTAATAGGCTGCCTTTCCAGACATGGATTTCTATTTTTGTTTAGGAATAAATTTGATCCATGAAGGAGGGAAACCTGTCGGATATTAGAGCAGGTGAAATCAGTACAGTAATTAACGCTGTCTCACTGTGTGATTGGATGGCTCTTTGTAGTCTTAAAGCTTTTACCTGAAGCCTTTTGTAATCTGTTAACTCTGAAAATCAGCTCTCGGGGGTTTGCAGACCCTGACAAGGCTGCACTCAGATAAAGCACAGAATGTATCACGTTTAAATTTTGTTTTTTCTTTTGCCAAATCCTTAAATTTCTGTCTGCCATATTCTGCCTACGCTCATGTTTACAGATGGTTGTAAAATTATTTTGTTGTTTTTTTTCTGTCGTTTTTTTAACAACCCAGTTTGAATTCCTATGACTCTGGAGTTATGAAGACTGGACGGCTACACTGTTCTTGAATTAATGTCTCAGCTCTCATTTGATCTGCACCACTCATATGACTATCTCTGCTCATCTTTAACCAATAAAAAACTCAAATCATAGTGACAGCAGGAGCAGTATTTTAAACCTCACATGTAAATTGTCATATCCAACATCACATTACTTGGTTACAGTGTAGTGTAAGTTGCAGTAAAACACCAGATTCACAGGCTTCATACAGAGCAGAGATGGTCATGGTGGACTGAAATGGCAACAGTAGTGTTTTTGACATTTAGTTTGTCCATTGTGACTTGATGCACCTTTTGAAGATTGTAAAGAAGAAGTAAAAATAGAACAAGAGTTGGATTCCCAATGTTTTTAAAAATGAAATAAAATGTATGCACTCATAGTACTGTAAGACACTTTGGAGGGAAGTGTCAAGCAAATGGCTTAAAGAAATAGTTTGAAATCTTGGAAAATATGCTTTCTTGCTTTCTTGTTGGGAATTAGATGAGAAGATTGATACCACTTTCATGTCTGTTCGCTAAAAATGAAGCTAATGCCAACAGCCGCTTAGCCTAGCCGGATTTTGTTGCTGCTTTGGACAGTGGAAAGGAAAGGAGTAGCTGTTTCCAGTCTGTATGCCAAGCTAAGCTTTTTTTGGTTTCTTTCAAAGATATCTAAGTGAGTGTATCATCTTTCAAATGCACATTAGGAGGTACATCACTCAATATAGTACACATTAACGAGTTAAACAACAGTTACTTTGAGGGTACTGGTAGTAGCTTCATAATTAATCGCTTTGCTCATTCAAATTGTGAAGTTCACTTCAGTTAAAAATTAAAAGATCAAATGCACATCCTTACATACATCAGAAGTCTTGACCACAGCATTTCCAATTACTGGTCCTAATTGGCACAGGTGATGCAGATGGGAGGGGGAACCAACAGCACCTCCGAGGGTCCGCAAACTACACTTCATGAAAGATTCGCGACTGAAGCAGTCTTGTGATGACACTCTGCTCTGCATTCCACCAAGTGACAAAAATTGACGGTCATTTGGTTCACCCTGACCAAGCACAGACATACCCACACATTTCTTTGTTCGGGGACAGGCTGTACAGAGTGAGTTGTGACACTCACTGAAGGTGTAATCACCTAATTCTTGGTGCCACTGGGAAATGGTTTTCCAGGCGGCTTATTACAACCCAAAGGCTGGCCACATGGGGTACGACAAAACACTAGACCGGATAATGCATCAAGTCTATAGGCCTGGCATTCAGAGAGCTGTACATTGCTGGTGTGCCTCTTGCCCCAAATGCCAACTGGTTAACCAACCAGCTGTATCAAAGGCGCCTTTGTGCCCATTGCTGTTAATTGAAGTTCCATTTGAGTGTGCTGTTACCTCTTCGGGCCATTTCACCAGAATGCATGAGGATACCGTTTCGTTTTAGTCCTGGTGGACAACACAATGCAGTGCTGAAGCCAACAGGCACTGTTTCAGGTTGTTTCCAGAGTTGGAATCCCAAAAGAAATTCCAACTGACCAGGGCACCTCATTCATGTGGATATTATAGGAGCTTGATGGATTATTAGGCATCAATTCGGACTAGTGTGTACCACCCACAAAGTGATGGTTCCGTCAAACCTTTGTGGTCACACGGTGAGCAGGCAACATTGACAATGAGATTGTGTGTTCTGACAGGGGCGGGGCAACACAGATTTACCACCTCAACCTCCTAAAAGTATAGAGTCCGGTTACTATGGTAAAGGAGAAAGATGAGTTAGGGCCCATAGTGCCAAATCCCACCAATCCAATATTGCTCCTATGTGATAGTCATCTCTCATTGTCCCAGAAAACACATGTTGCTATGTTGCAGCAGCATTTTGCTGACGTGTTTTCCCCCTTACCAGGACACACAAACTCATGCCTAGTCCACGTGGGCATTTTTTGCAGTGTAGCTTTTTCTATGCGTTCTTCCCTTTCTTCCATGTGCAAAATGCATTTTAGGTCCCTGAAAACAGACCTTTTGCAAAAATCCCTCCAGGGTGAAGATGAAACACCATTTTTCAGTGTTGATGTGTAGACAAGGAAAATAGGGGTAGGCGAGGCCAGCCCATGTCGGGCAGTGGCCATATGTGGTAGTGGTGTATATGGGCTCAGCTGCAGGGGAACAGTGGTATCAGTCTTCACGTGTTACTCTCTGCAAGAAAACCAAAAAGCTTATTCCCCAAAATGTTGAAATATTCCTTTAATGTCAGATGAATGGTCAGCTACATGATGACTGCCATACTGTGCATATTGCTACTGGTGAATGATACAGAACAGTTTGAGGATGTTACTGCTGTCATAATCACAGGGACTTTGTCAAACACAGTGTTGTCTTTTCAAGGTCCCCTTCATTGAAGCTGGTGTCCTCGCTGTTGTATTAAATATGTAGTTTCTCTAACTGTGTGTAAATGTTAATTAAGGGTTTTCCAAAAGCATTTCAACATCCAAGTGATCTACATTGAGTGTACAGTACACCAGAGTTCCTGTCTCATTTTGGACAACTTAACTGTCTCAAGGCTGCGAAACAGCCTTAATCTGACATTATGACTGAAGTAAATTTCAAAGCTTAAATAAATAAAACATGTCAAGGATTCTGTCCTATTTTATGGACTGAGACAGTAGTCATTGTATTTGGTACAGTCAGTGAATTGCAAATTAAAGCCCAAGTGTCACTGGGAAACACTGCAATCATAATGAGTAATTAATTTGTTATCTGTGACAGTCACTATGTTTTTTTTTTTCTTTTTGTCAAAGAGGAATTTGTATACAAATTATTGAAATGTACAGTGAAGAAAACAAAAAAACCACTGAGTTTTTAAAAGACATGTCTATTGTAAAGGATAATGTGGTGTACATTTTTTAATTTAAGTAAATTAATTTAAGGTATTTTGCTCATCTCTGTGTCTTTTGTTAATGCAACATTGACTCTTGCTTTCTGGCTCTGCGCTGCAGTACCTGTTTACACCCACACGAGGTCACTGTGAGACCTTGTGTTAAGGTTAAGACTAATCAGCTGGGAGAGTTTTGCTTCCCCCTCTCCACTGCGAGGTCAGAGGTCAGGGTTAGCTGCCGAACCTTCTCGCTCAAGGATACTTCAGTGTTTTATCTTCAGTGCAGGAATGAGAAAGTGGGTGGTTTGGCATGTTTTGCATTCCTACCAGATCTCATTCCATTTTTATGGCAATTGGAATCAAACCAAGGAATCAATAAGGAGTTGTAAGAAGACATGTTTACACTTTGCCATGCTTTTCTGACCTCTGCAAGTTCAGGCAACAATATTTTAAGACTCTTTCCTTAGGTAAGTCACCCAGTTTTTTCCCTCATGTGTGTTACAGACCAGATCATGAATAATTAGCATTTGAATAGGGAGAAATTTGATGATTTTTGATATTTCTGAATGTTTTGGGCCAAGATTGTGTGCGGTAGCAACATCAACACACATTTTGATGTTTCTCAACTACATACAGGGAGGAAAGACCTAATAAAGCCTTGCAAAAATCAGCTGCAGCTTGCTGCCACTTTCATAGCCAATATTTCTTTTTTTGTGGCTGGCTGTGGGGAGATATATTTATCCATCACACCTCTTAAATGACAACTGCAACTTTCAAAATGCAGTTTAGAGCCTTCCACTTGATGCGGATACATTAAATTGTTTCCTCCATACATCACTCAGTGCAGTCCTTTTCAAAGTTCTACATCCAGTGCAATTTGGCTTAAATGGCACCATTTCAGTTCTCTTTTCAGGTAGTGGATGACAGGTTCTCTTTGTGCCACAGTAGAAATTAAGACCATATACCAGATTCAAGCTGTGAAAATATCCATCTGTCTGGTGACATTACCTTGCCCTGTTTGCAACGTAATGTGACACATACCAGCATTTCGGCGCAGGTGATGGATATAACTGCACATGAAAAACAAGGAAGCCTGAGAAATGTCCTTCTGGAGATACAGTATATCCACAGAAAATGTGATGAAGGGAGAAAGAATTTAAATTAAAATGTAAAATAAACTTTTTTTTTTAATGTACATGGAATGCTGATAGCAGAAAAGTTTGAATTGAAGGAATGAAAATTCCAAAGGTAATTAGAAAAAGAAAAGCTTAAATTTTTAGAGAAAAAGAATTTTCACCTTGCTCACCCCCGTGCTCATTTTAAGTTTGCTATTTGCAGTTTTTAAATTGCAATTTATGTGTAAATGAGTCACCAGTCAATGCTGTCAATCAGGACTGTGGCAAACGCTATTTACTTCCAATTTACGTTGTGATTGAGGTGTGATTATTTTAAGTAAACTTGCATTTATATCCATATGGTAGTATATTTTTACACAGAAAACAGATAAATACACTGATGACTGATGTTTCAGTGTTTTTATGTATCAGTTATACACAAACAGTCCACACCTGTTAACTGAGAGTTCAATAACAAGAATCAAGATAATGTGGTTTATCTTCAAAGCACCAAAAATCAATTTTTGCTCAGACAAGAAAAAGCAGCATTTCATCCTTAACACATTTCCTGCAGAGAACCTGTCAAACACATGCTGAACTCAAAGTGATTTTTTGTTTTGTTTTTTTTTGTTTTTTTTTTTGTTCCGTCCTTTTGAGAAGGCGCCTCACTCACTGATCTGTGTTGACGTGTGGATGTGAAGTGTATTCCTTCTGTAACTCACAGAAGCTCTCACTTTTTCTCTTTGTTCATAAACGCTCTGTTTCAGAACAGAGCAAGAGAAAGAGTGTCACGAACTTTCATACAGTTAAAGGCAGTTTGAAGCGACACTCTGTAAATGACACCTCAGAGTCATTCAGACGCTTCTGTCTACCCCGCTGCTTTGCTTGATGGATTCAGTGTATTTTTAGTCTGCCCAAAAGAGACATTGCCAAACGTGGCACCTTTTACCATTTGTACACTATGACAAAATGGTGACACGCTTTGACAGCTCAGCTCTGTCTCCTTGTCCACTTTGGGGTTTGTGTGTGTGTGTACGTGTCGCACACATCACACACTCTCAAGCCTACGAAAAGTTGAGAAAAAGTATGAACTGCTGGTCAAAATAAACCATGTTCTCTTATTGCCCAGTTAGCAACAAAGCTAGTTAGCTAGCTGTTGAAATGTTTGTTTTTCAAACAAAAGCAGTCAGTATATCACAAAGCTAAGTGACTTATATAATGATTTTTGCACTGCCATTTTCTCATATGACTGGCCTTGCCTATTCTTGTTAGCGTGGAGCTGTAATGCTTTACACTAAAAAACAAAATTGTTAAATGTTAAGAATTAAGTTTAGCCTGAGGATATTTGAACAATTACATTAACATCAAAAATGATGTGTGTAAAGGGTGTTGCTCACACAAAATGATCACCCAACTTTGCAATTCCCCTCAGCTCTACAGAGTGTGCTATCACCCTGTGGTGATGAAGGAGCTGTACCACATTTTATGCACATTTAATGACATTATACAGGTATATTATGGGTAAATTTAACCTTGCAGGTGCATCTTACAATGTTACACTAGTGCAATATTAAGCACTTCTTTAAGGGGACATCCAATAACATGGAAAAAGGCCATTTACTTCTGAACCCAACATATTGAACAGAAGCTTCTATTTCCCACCTGTCAAGTGATACTATGTTGCACCTACACAGGTGTTTTCACTTACCCTGATTAGACCTCCTCCCAGGACTGTGAGGGAGTTTACAAACTCTTACTCTGCCGTTAGACCCGAACACTTTTGAATAAAAGTTCAGTATGTGGAGTTTGGTGACTTTATTTCATTTCCAACTTTGCTGCACCTCACCTCAACCTGAGCAGCGGTCTAATCAGCCACATGTCAAAATTATTAACACAATTCCACTTGATAAATTGCAGGAATTAGAGAGCAACTTTTAAGTCAGCAACTTGTATTTGATATTTTTGATAGCACGTACAGCGGAGGAGCTGTTACCAGATTTTAAACCGGCTGTGTCCTTACATACAGATGTTCACGGTTGTGTGGTGTGTATATGAGTGAAGCGGCCAGTCAGGAGCTGTGGTGGGTTGAGGTGACCTCTCTGTCTCTGTGTGTGGCGGTGCTGTGTGTGCTGGGGTAGAGAGGACGTGCATTTGGCTGCCTGGCCATCAGTCATTAGTTAAATGTTGAAATGATGCTTCCCCTAAAGGATAGAAGGCCATTCTGGCCGTAGCTCTCCTCTAGCAGCTGTCAGCACCCAGCGTAATGACTCACACACACATACACACACCCGCGCACAGCATGATGCATCTGCTTGTCTTCCTGAAGCACTCATCATGGATGTTAATGGCAGTTATTATAAAACGTACACAAATAAAAGCAAGTTCATACCGTGGATGTGCGTAATAAAGACCTACCATAACTGAGAGAGGTGAATCAAAGAAGCAACAAAAAAAGCAATAAAACAAAATGATACTTACTTTTGGTCAATATAACATAAATATGAAGCAATATCAACTGTCTGCTTCTCTCCTCCTAATGTAATTTTCATCTTTCTCTTTCACACACAACTGGAAATCAGCTGTTAAATCTGATCTGAATCAGAACACCAATCAAAGTTAAGTGAGCACATAGTTCAATAACGTTCTTGTAATTGGATTCTCACCTAATACAGCTCCAAGGAGCAGCAGCAACTACTTTTTGTCTTCATGGATGATAGGTCTTTTATGCAGATCTGGTGTCAGCTTTACCCTCCCAGTGAACCTTTTTGCTTGTTCCACAATGAAGACTAGAAAGCTGCATTGGGAGGTACACAGAGGAACAAGAGGAAGCAGGCATTTCTGTCCACAGGGCCATATTGTCTGTTAATTCATAATACACACCACACATTGTTTTTACAGCTGCCAAAAGAGGGTTTTCAAACTGGGTTGGACCATCCAGAGAGCTTGAGAGACAAACACACCAGCCGTTGAAAAACTATAAAAGCCTCTGGCGGATGGTAATGGCTGAAGCACTGTCTCTGACTATACGTAATTAGAAGTTAGTGAACCTCTCTCTTTCTCAGGCACAAGGCCGTAGCCAGAAATTTAGAAATAGAGGTCACAACTCAAAGTGCTCCCCGGCCCATAATCTAAGCAACACCCTCCTTATTAATGGTAGCTAGGCCTTGTCAAGCTTTCCACTGTCATACACCACAAGGGCAGTGCAGTAATGGTGATGACCTTTGGAGATCCACGTCTCGAAACTCTCAGTAACTTTCTCATTTTTATCTGACAAATATGGATTTTGTCAGCTGAAAACACGACTGTCACAAACACATTCTCAGAGTTGTAGATAGCTAGAATAAGCTAATGCTAAAGCTAAAACCCTCCAGCTGACTTTTTAAAGTTTCCAGCACATTTGTTTTAAAACAAGAAGCCAGTAAAAGAGTCTTAAATATGCATGTAATATACATGGTGTACATGATATAATGCTAAAAGACTGAGCTTTTTCTTTTTTCTATGTCACGGTTGACTTTTACGGTAACAGTTATTACTGGCCACATATGCTAACATTATAAATGCAGTAAGGACAAACAGTTTAATCAACTCCTTAGACTTTTAAGTTTGTGTTTTTGGCTTCAGAAAGGCTAAAAATAACACCACCCTACTGCTTGTTCAGTAATTCACTAAAGCTGGCATCAATGTCTCATAAATTTGTCTTTTTTTTTCCATATTTTTTTTATTATGATTACGTAGCTCTTTCCAAGAAATTTCAAAGAAAATGACTATGAAATGCTTGACTTGTAAAAAAGGAGGTAAACTCACCCCCACATTGCAAAACCCAAACCAAACTGCAAGGGATTGTATGAAAATTATTGGTATGGGAAGTTGGATTGGTGTTTCTCTTTATCATTATCCTGTGC